TGCGCGGGCGCCCTCCCGGAGGATCTGGTCCTCCGCGTGCTGGCCGAGGGCGCCCGCGCGCCCATTCAGCCCCCGCCGCTGCCCGCCGGTCCGCACGACCCGCAGCAGCGCCCGCCACGGCGCCGCGCGTGGACAGACAGCGCCTGCGAGCGGCCGGCAGACCTGCTCTTGGCCAGGGCAGGCTGGGGCTTGCGGCTCGACGGCCCCAACGGCACCCAGGACTGCAGCGGGCTGGTCGACCGGCCCCAGACGGCGCAGAGGCCGGAGCTATCGGCCGCCCGTCATGCTCTGAGCCTCGCTGCGGGCCCCGTGGAAGTGATCGCCAATTCCCGGCTCGTCAGCAACGGGGTCGCGGCGATCTGGGCGGGGACATGCCCAGCGGAATGGGCGCGCGCCGAAGTCTGGGAGTTGCTGGCGCCCTACTGCCAAAACGGGATCCTTATCGCGCAAGGGATCGAGGGGCATCTCGACGCGGCCAGCGCCCAGGCTCGCGGCTTGGCTGACGAATGCCGCTTTGGCAACGCAGCAGCTGACTGGCTCGCGTGCGCAGTCGCGCGCGCGCGGTTCCCGCCGCCCGCCCTGGTCGCGCCGCTGGAAGAGGTGTAGCTGGACGCCCTGAAAGTGAACCGCAGCAGCGCAGGCGTGGCGCCTCGGGCCCGCAGACCGCCGCGCCGGCGCCGCGGCCGGCAGGGTGTGCTCGGCGCGCAGCCAGGCGCGCCGCCGCAAGGCCTCCCGCCTGCAACTGCTGCGGCACCGGCGCAGTCGGGCAACGCGCGCAGCCGCGCCGCCCTGCTCGCGGGGCAGGCCTGGCAGCTCCACGCCGCCGTTGCAAAGCCCGGGCTGGGTGGCATGCGTGCGCTGCGGGGCGTCTGCGCCCACCTGGCAGCGGTTGGCGGCGTCGCCGTGCGCGGGCTGGGCCGCCGCGCTGCCGCCGCGGGCGGCAGCCTTGCTGCCGCTGCTGCCGCCCACAGTCCAGGCTGGCGAGCGCGAGGCCGACTGGCGCGAGGCCATGCGGGCGCGCTTGGTGCAGCGCCCTGGGCCGCCAATTAATTCGGTGCGCCGGCAGCCCGCGCGCGGGCTGCGTTCCCCCCGCCTTTCCTCCCTGCCTCCCTCCTCCGTTCCTCGGCCGCCCCTCTGCCGCTGGGCTTTTTCGCTTGGTTTTTTGGTTTAGTGATCGGCGACTGCGGCAGCAAGACCCGACAATTGCTGGGTCGTGTAAGTTCCAACCTGGTCTCTGAGCTCTGCGAATGCATTGGCGGAGGGCGATGCACGCGGCGGCATGTCGCGCCACGCGGAATTCTGCCGCGAGCGCCTCTGTGACGGGCAGCGGCTTATGCCCCTACGTTGAGACTGGAGATGGTACCGATCGGGAGCTCTTCGCTGCGAGGTTATTCCGCTACGATCCTGGATGGCTCGCGCGTGTGCAAACACGGGAACCGAAGCGGGGCTCGAAATACCACTGGTGTCCCAGCGGCGGCGGCGCGCGGAAACGCTCGGAAAAAAACGTTTCGTTCGCGCCACCGCGGCTGTCCCCACCGGCGAAGGTTGGAGGAGAAGGCGCGGGCGTTCCCACCGGCGACGGCTCTGACCTAATGTTGGCTTCGGGCGACTGAACAGTCGACCGAAAGCTTGGTCCAATCCCTGCAGTGTACGGTTGCGCCCGCACGGAATATAGGAAAGATTCCATGTCTGCTTGCTGTGCACGCGGGAGTGTTGTTCGCTGCCTTCTCCTGGTAAAGGGGTTCTCACTGTCGTCGCGACGCTCACGCACCGTCGAAGCGCCACCGCGCACAGAGGCATTGGTCCCCGCAGGGTCCAAGGCCATGCGCGAGGCTCACAAGCGGCGCGGGGTGTCGCAACGGAAAACGTAATGGAATAGGCTGATAACCTGTGAACGGAGGTTGACGAACAATGAGTCGAACCTACCGTGGGGTCCGTAGGTTGGAGGTGAGGGGGTGAGATCGAAGTGCCCTACCAGGAAATCGGTTTCGGTCTCGTGCTCGTGCGTGCCGTGTGTGCGGGCGAGGCGAAGCTGCGTGGGCGGGCGAAAAGAACGTCTCCTCCAGCTGAGGCGCGGCCGGACCAAATGTTTCCTTTCCGGGGGCCGGTGCCACGCGGTGTCCCGCCGGTGTCCCGCCTCCGGCTGAGGCGCGGCCAGACCAAATGTTTCCTTTCCGGGGGCCGGTGCCGCGCGGTGTCCCGCCGGTGTCCCGCCGGTGTCCCGTCGGTGTCCCGATGATGACGATGATGTCGATGATGTTGATGTTGATGATGATGATGATGATGATGGTGCTGGTGATGATAATGACGGTGTCCCGATGATGTTGATGAAATTAAAGGTGTTGTTGATGATGATGCTGGTGATGGTGGTGATAATGATGGTGTCCGGATGATGGTGATGTTGATGATGACGATGTTGCTAATGATAGTGATGCTGATGATGGTGTCCCGATGATGATGTTGATCATCATGCCGTTGGTGATCATGATGGCGTTGATCATGCTGGGATGATGATGAGATGATGTTGATGATGAAGATGATGATGATGGTGTCCCGATGAGGATGATGATGAAGTTGATGATGATGCTGTTGATGATGATGGTGATGATGATGATGTTGCCCCGATGATGATGATGATGCTGATGTTGATGATGAGACGATGACGGTGTGCCGATGATGATGATGTTGATGATGCAAATGAGAATGAGGTGATGATGATGATGTTGGTGGTGGCGGCCTACGATGGTGATGACGATGATGCTGCTGTTGATGATGATGGTGTCCAGATGATGATGATGATGCTGATGATGATGATGATGGTGCCCCGATGCTGATGATGATGTTGTTGATGATGATGATGATGTTGCTGATGATGATGACAATGATGGTGTCCCAATGGTGATGATGTTGATGATGATGGTCACGATGATGGAGTCCTGATGATGATGATGATGCTGATGGTGATGTCGATGATGATGGTGATGAGGTGATGATGATGATGATGATGATGATGATGATGATGATGATGATGATGATGATGATGGTGTCCCGATGATGATGATGCTGATGATGATGATGATGATACTGATACTGATGATGTTGATGACGATAATGTTGATGATGACGTTTATGGTGAGATCGATTGTGATATCGATAGTGAGATCGACAGTGAGACCGAATGTGAGATCGATTGTGAGATCGACAGTGGGACCGATAGTGAGATCGATTGTGATATCGATAGTCAGATCGATTGTGAGATCGATCGAACAAAATAGATCGAGTGAGAACGATTGTGGGATCGATCGAGTGAGATCGATCGAGCGAGACCGCTAGTGAGATCGATAGTGAGATCGATCGTGAGACCGATCGGGTGAGACGCTGGTTCCTCTCCCCCCGAACCTCCTTATCACCCGAAGGGTGGTCGTATAGGTAGAGGACGATACGGAGAAAACAAGACTCTGTTTTGTCCATGCGCCCGTCGGAAGAAGGGCGCTGAATAAATATGTCCAATACGTGAGCCGATGGGACAACAGGAAAGATGGACACAAAGGGAAAATGAGCGGGCTTCACGCACAATGGTGTTTTGGAGCGGTTCAAGATTGTCAGGGCGCAACAGTTAACCTCATGCCCGTGAGAATAATCACTAGGGGATAATAAACTTCGGGGTTCAGGGAGAGATATTAAAAGTAGCCCAGCAGACCTCAGCATAATCTCGAAGTAAGAGATGATCAAGAGGAGACCAAGCCGAGCACGTTTTGAGACATCCTTGGCGTTTAGTTTTCATAGAAATATCCTCAACAATAATTCGATGTATTAGAATGTATTCGATTTTATTTACAAACGCTTTGTGAAAAATGATGTTTTTAAGTGCTCGTGTAGGGTAGTTCATGTGCCTCACTTTCCCTGGATAATCAACCCCAGGGATAATCAAGTTCAGGCGAGCGTGGGGAGAGATAGAAATATAAAAGAAGAACAGGAGAGTAGAAGGATAATGGCGCAGCGATGTTGCTATATCAACATCGCTTGATGTTGCTATCTCAACATAGCGTTTCGAGGTGATAATGAAGTTCGGCCTCAGCGCTCGCCGCCCAATTTGAATTTTGTATAGGGCGACGATAATCAACTCTAAACACTGAAGGGGGGGGGTCCCTTTATTATCATCGGCATGCGGTTACGTTGATTCGCTGTGCTGTCGTCCCAGGAACTGCTTTCTGGCACGATTCAGGATTCCAAAGACGTAACAATCAGGTCAACTCGTGGCGTTGAAGTCCTGGGAATGGTGTGTTGGTGCGCTTCGGGATTTTCACACGGTTGTCCCCCAACAGGGCAATTCTCGATGAAAGTGAAACCTTGTAGGGGACTATGGAGAGGGAGCTCAAAGGGAGGGTGAATTCCAACATCGTTGATGAATCTCGGGTTTACACTGGTCCTCCCACCTCCTCCTTCCCCCTCCCTCCCTCCTCCTCCTTCTCCTCCGCCTCCTCCTCCTCCTCCTCCTCCTCCTCCTCCTCCTCCCTCCTCCCTCCTGCCTGCTCATCTGTCCTTGTCCTGCTCCTGCTCCTCCTCCTCTCTTCTCCTCCCTAGGCTTGATTCGCGCAACTCCGGTCGGGGGGACGGCGCCTACACTGGCTTTCAGCGGGCGGCCCTGAGTCCAGAGAATCCGCCACGTCTTCCAGCGTGGAAACGCCCAGATGCAAAGCAGCTGCAGCACAGCGTGGCCTTCAAGATCCGCCTGCGCAGCCGGCCGTCTCAGCCGACCGTCGCTCCCCCCCTTGCTCAAGTCAAAAAGAACAAAAAACAGCATACTCGTAGACGGTCCGCGCGGACTTCGTGGGTCGGCGCTGGACCCCCTCCTCGGAGCGCGGAGCGCGCCAAGAGCGGCGCCGAAGGCGCCGCCAGAGGGGGCCCCAGCGCAAATCCAAGAAATTCGTACGCTGCTCCGTCCTCCCCCCCCCTCCGTCCCTCCCTCCCGCCGCCGCCCTCCCCCCTCCCCACTCCACCTCTCGCCGCGCTCGCGCCCCGCTGTCATTGGTTGACCTATAAGGGGGTAAAGCTGAAAGAAGCGGGTGCCCTAGATTTGGGGCAATTGTTTTGCGCGTGTGTTGCGCCGGAGGTCTGTGTTGCATTGTATTGCGACTACTGCACTGCACGCGAAAACTCAGCAATACATCTGCGCACCAGAATGTACTGCACGCCCGAATCACTTGCAAACCCACAAAACTTTTTTTGGCGGAGCCGCCGCTCCCAGCACCACGGCCTCGGCCACGCGCGCCCGCAAGCGAGGGGCCCCGGGGTCCGTCCAGCTTTCGGTCGGACCCTAGGCAGAGGTCGGGCTAGCTCGGACGACCGAAGATCGTCGGAACTGGAGCCCGCAAGGGTGAGGCTCTCGTCGGAAGTCCTGTCGGCGCTGCAGCCCGCAAGGGTGAGGCTCCAGTCCGCCCGCACCGCCCCGTGAGGTCGGAGGGCGAAGCAGCGCAGCGCGGGAGCGCCGGGCCCGCCCTCAGCCGCGCAGCGCCCTGGCGCTGGGAGGGCTGCCCGCGCCGCCGGAGTCCTTCGCGCCCAGCGCCAGCTGCATCGGCTGCTGCTGGCGGCGCTCCACCACCTCCTTCCAGAGCTCGCGCTCGTGCTTGACGCGCTCCAGCTGCGACTCGATGTGCTGCTGAGAGATCTGCAGCAGGCGCAGCACGCTGTGGTCCGCCTTCTTGGCAACCATGTCCAGCACGTTGCGGAAGCGCTGCGAGCACCTCTGGCGCCACGCCTTGTCCACGCGGAAGGACATGTTCTCCGCGCACTCCTCCCAGCCCAGCAGCTCGACGTCTGCCTCGCCCTGGTCGCCGCCCTCCGCGTCGTCGAACTTGGGGCCGGGGAAGACGCCGACGACCTGCGCGAATTTGACCACGCCCTTGGTGAGCGAGGCCGTGCAGTGCTTGAGGTCCTCGAACGGCTTCTCGTTCACCTTGGTGTCCAGCACGTCGTGGACGGCGTCCATCTGCGCCTTCCAGTTCTGCTCGTCCATGTTGCGCTGCTTCTCCATCTTGCGCATGGCGTCGCTGTTCTTCTGGATGTCCACCTCGTGGGACGCGCTCTTGACAGTGAGGCCGTTGACCTCCTCGCGCAGCTTCAGAATGTCGCGCTTATGCTCCCCGAGGCCACCCTGCACGCCGCTCATGCGCAGGTCCAGTGCGCCAAGGCGGCGCGAGGCCTCGGCGCTGCGGAGCTCGGCCTGCTGCTCCACCGACGCGATCTTCTCGAAAGCCTCCTGCTGCTTCTGACGCACGTCGTTCTTGAGGCGGGCCTCGGTGTCGGCCACGTTGCGCTCCAGGTCGCTCCTGACCACGGCCACCTCGTTGAAGCAGTCACTGAGCGAGTTCTGCGTGGTGTGCAGGCTCTCCTGGGTGGCTGCCAGATCCTTGTTGGTGAAATCGATCCTGCCGTTGAGCGCGTTCACGGCCTGGTCGGTGTCGCTCGTGATCTTCGCCTTCGACTCCTCCAGGTTGGTCTCGACGGCGGTAATATCGTGCCTGATCGTTGCGAGAATCTCGTCCACCTTCCGGCGACGCGCGTCCACGTCGAGTCGCAGGGAGGAGACCATGTCTCTTACGGTCTTGACCGCCGCGTCCAGGTCGTCGTTAGCCTCCTTCCAGGCCACGTTGTCCACCTTTGTGTCGAGCTTGGTGTTCATCTCGTTCTTCAGGTTGATGATGTCCTCCGTTAAGTTCTCCTCCTTCTCCTGCATCTGCTGCAGGGTGTTTGAAACATCCTCCATCCAAGAGTCATGGTTCTTGAGGGCTTCCTGAATGTCACCGATGTCCAGCCTCATGGTGGAGATCTCAGCTGTCATGGTGGCTTCCACGCGCTGGCGGCTTGTAATGATGGAGTGCGTGGCATCCACGCGCGCACGCATCTCGTCCAAGTCGACGTTGACAGCATCCATGGCAGCAGTGAAGTCCTCCATGTCGCGCTCGCAAGCCAGCACGATGCGGCGGACGTGGTTGACCTCGCCCTTGTTGTTGTTGAGGAGATCTTTGAGCTCACCAACGTCGAATTTGAGCTGGTCCAAGTCCTCGGCCATGGTGTCCATGCCCGCGGACTGCCCGCCCGCGTCGAGCGGTTTCATCGAGGAGGCGCCGCGGCTCACGTGCGAGAGCTTCTTGTCAAAGTCGCCCTGCATGTTGCTCAGCTGGGCCGTGAGCTGGGCCTCGAAGTCCTGCAACCTCGTCGACACCTTTTTCAGAATCTGTGCGTCGCTGCTGCCCGCAGAGCCGGGCTTCTTGCTACCAGCCTCTGCGTCGCCCGCGCTGGCCGACAGCGCCGCCAGCTGCGCCTCCACCGCGGCCAAGCGATCCTCCACCGTCGCCATCCACCCTGCGTCCTGCTCTTGCGCAAGAGGGGCACGGAAGCACTACAGGGCGCCTTATGCAGTGCTGCAGCGACGTGGGCCAAAATGCCTTGAGCCAAAATGGCTACGGACCTTTTGCACAAAATCTCTTGTCGGGGATCTTCTGACCCGGGTCAATCCAGACCCGGGTCAGCAGGAATTCAAAAACTGCGATGCAGGAAAAAAAATGCAACGCAGACCCTCGCAAACCCGGGTCAGCCAATACGCGCGGCCGCCTCGCGGCCACGAGCGGCTCGCTAACCCGGGTCAGCCAGAGGGGGTCTTCGCAGGATCCTGCAGGATCTGGCGCCCTGGCTGACCCCCGTCTGCATTGACCCCCGTCTCGAGGCTCCCGACCTTGTACCACCATCATTGACGCCGGTTCCCCTCCTGGGTCAACCAGAGCTGCGAGGAGGCGCCAGGCCCGCTCCCCCCCCTCTCGCGCGAGGGGCGCCTGCTGCTCGGCGTGCCTCGCGTTGTCCACCAGCAGCTTCTCCAGCGGGTGCCGGGCGCCGTGCTCGGCCGAGGCCTTGGGCCCGACGGCCTCGATGCCCTGGGGCGAGCGCGGCGCGGCCGCGGGCGGAGCGCGCCGAGGCCGCCGCCTCGTCGCCGCCGCCCCAGGCCTCCAACTTTGAAGGGGCCCTGGGACACACAAAGAAATACACACAAGTAAAGTGGTTCCCCATATTTTCCCATCTTTTCTGGGTTTTTGCCTTCCCGCCCACTTCCCATATTTTCTCATATTTTCTTGGGAATCGACGATGAAATTGTGTCTGTGTGTTGTTTTCCCCTCCTGTAACTTGTGGAACACTTCGATGCGGTGGACGGCGGCCTCCTCCTCCTCCTCCTCCTCCTCCTCCCTCCTCCTCCTCCTCCTCTCCCTCCTCCTCCTCCTTCTCCCCCCCTGGGATCCATCCGTCTCCACCTTGTGGAACACTCCGCCTCCACTCGGCGCTCTCACCATGCTGGCGCCGCCTGCAGCGGCGCCGCCTGGGAGCGCTCCGCGCCCCGGGGCTGTGGTGCTGAGGCCGCCCGGGGCTACTCGGGGTGCAGGAACAGCCAAGGTCCCATCGGTAAAACGACGCGAAGATCGGGACAAGATCGGATCGGGATAACTCGAAATCTCTGAGAATCGGCGGGTTTGGAGGATGTATTGGGCGCCGCGGCCGCTCCAGAGCGTTCCGGAACGCTCTGAGAGCGCTCCGGAACGCTCTGGAGCGATTTATCCCGATCCTAGCCCTGTTTTGATCGGGGCATGGGGTCGGATCGGAACATGCATCGCCGCATCGACACGAGATCAAAGTCGGATCGGATTGCTGCGCCAGGATTTGGTAGTCCAAAAAACGTGGTGGTGACAACACCTGGCGGTGAGTCTCGGGCGATTTGGTGTCACCACCCGGTCTGGGGACTCGTGCGGTTTTCCGAGGATGTCCTGGACACTGGTGGGTCCAGGAGTCACAAAAACCGGTGGTGACCCCGCGTCCCCAAACCCGGCGGTGACCTTTTTGGGGATTCCAGGTCGCCACCTGGTATCTCACCACCCGGTTTGGGGGTTCCCAAAGGATGCACAACGGCGCCATACAAGCATCAGGCTGATCGGATCGCCCGAGAATCGGAATCGAATCCAATTTCGGGCCGGCTGGAGCCGAAATCGAATCGGATCGATCGGATCGAAACGGACCCCTGGGGGCGGTCGCGAGCGACGAACGCGTGGAGGTCGCCACCTCGTCGCCGTCATCCCAGACCTCCAACGCATCCGAAACACGATACGGACTTTCTCCTCGTTCTCGGCCTGTGCAGCTTGCGGCCCTCGACGGGCCCCGGGACCTTCAAAGACGGCTTACGACGCAAAATCGATCCTGTGGGGGGGTCTGGACATCCGGGAACCCCGCACTGAAACAAACAGTACAGCGAATGTGTTGGGATGAATCATGTCGAGTTCGCCGCCGTCGCTGTCGCTGCCGCCGCCGTCGCACGCGCCCGAGTGTCGTTTGACCGATCCCCATCCCCCCTGGTATGTCCTCAGCCACGCTGCCCGACTTGGTGGGGTAGAGATGCCATAGCCCAATGGCGACGGGGGTCGGCTAGACACTGTCTTTCCCGAGCGTCCCACCCATCACAGGGGGAGCCGCCGTCGAGCCCCGTCCCGAGAAAACCATCATCGGGAATCGGAGGCCAGGCCAACCTCTGCCGACGGCACCATCCGGCCAAGCAGGCGCTGGAGCACCCCGCGGCGCGCACGGGCCCGCAGCAAGGCTAAGGATGGGCTCGGCTAGACAATGCTGACGCCGCCGTTGCCGCCACCACGAAACTCTCACGGGCGACGAGCATACTTCGGGAGCGGCGAGCGCATCGAGGATAACGAATTAAGCCACCGAGGAACCCCACATACTTATATCACGGCTGGAGTGATGGTAGTTTCCTCCTCCTCCTCCTCCTCCTCCTCCTCCTCCTCCTCCTCCTCCTCTTCCTCTCCCCCTCGCCATTGATATACTCCTTCGCACCCCCTACGGTGTCGAGAAAGTGCTATCCTGCCTTGCCCTGGACAACCGGCTCGGATAGCGGCCGCGCTCAATGACCACCCCCTGCGCACCTCCTATGGTGTCGGAAAAATGCCACTCCTGCTATGCCCTGGACGACCGGCTCGGATAGCGGCCGCGCTCATGGACCACCTCCTGCGCACCCCCTACCGCGTCGGGAAATGCCACTCCTGCTATGCCCTGGACGACCGGCTCGGATAGCGGCCGCGCTCAGGGACCACCCCCTGCGCACCCCCTACGGTGTCGGGAAATGCCCCTTCTACAATGCCGTGGACGACCGGCTCGGATAGCGGCCGCGCTCAGGGACCACCGCCTGCGCACCCCCTACCGCGTCGGGAAATGCCACTCCTGCTATGCCCTGGACGACGGGCTCGGATAGCGGCCGCGCTCAGGGACCACCCCCTGCGCACCCCCTACCGCGTCGGGAAATGCAACTCCTGCTATGCCCTGGACGACCGGCTCGGATAGCGGCCGCGCTCAAGGACCACCCCTGCGCACCCCCTACGGTGTCGGGAAATGCCACTCCTGCTCTATGCTACCGGCTCGGATAGCGGCTCGGATAGCGGCCGCGCTCAGGGACCACCCCCTGCGCACCCCCTACGGTGTCGGGAAATGCCACTCCTGCTATGCCCTGGACGACCGGCTCGGATAGCGGCCGCGCTCAGGGACCACCCCCTGCGCACCCCCTACGGTGTCGGGAAATGCCACTCCTGCTATGCCCTGGACGACCGGCTCGGATAGCGGCCGCGCTCAGGGACCACCCCCTGCGCACCCCCTACGGTGTCGGGAAATGCCACTCCTGCTATGCCCTGGACGACCGGCTCGGATAGCGGCCGCGCTCAGGGACCACCCCCTGCGCACCCCCTACGGTGTCGGGAAATGCCACTCCTGCTATGCCCTGGACGACCGGCTCGGATAGCGGCCGCGCTCAGGGACCACCCCCTGCGCACCCCCTACGGTGTCGGGAAATGCCACTCCTGCTATGCCCTGGACGACCGGCTCGGATAGCGGCCGCGCTCAGGGACCACCCCCTGCGCACCCCTACGGTGTCGGGAAATGCCACTCCTGCTATGCCCTGGACGACCGGCTCGGATAGCGGCCGCGCTCAGGGACCACCCCCTGCGCACCCCCTACGGTGTCGGGAAATGCCACTCCTGCTATGCCCTGGACGACCGGCTCGGATAGCGGCCGCGCTCAGGGACCACCCCCTGCGCACCCCCTACGGCGTCGGGAAATGCAACTCCTGCTATGCCCTGGACGACCGGCTCGGATAGCGGCCGCGCTTAGGGACCACCCCCTGCGCACCCCCTACGGTGTCGGGAAATGCCACTCCTGCTATGCCCTGGACGACCGGCTCGGATAACGGCCGCGCTCAGGGACCACCCCCTGCGCACCCCCTACGGTGTCGGGAAATGCCACTCCTGCTATGCTGTGCTGTGCTGTGCTGAGCTGAGCTGTGCTGTGCTGTGTTGTGCTGAGCTGAGCTGAGCTGTCTGTGCTATGCTGCGCTGCTCTGCTGTGCTGAGCTGTGCAATGCTGTGCTGTGCCGAGCTGAGCTGTGCTGTGCTGTGCTGTGCCGAGCTGAGCTGTGATGTGCTGTGCTGTGCTGAGCTGAGCTGTGCTGTGCTGTGCTGTGCTGTGCTGAGCTGAGCTGTGCTGAGCTGTGCTGAGCTGTGCTGTGCTGTGAGGGCCGCGAGAGTGGTGTGTGTGTGTGAGGGCCGCGGGTGCGACGCGGCTGGGATGAAAACCAGAACCCCACTAAGCATGTGGGGAACAACTCAACGGTCGGCGTTTTTCGTTGCACTCGGCGTCCTGGGGGCCCGTTTCGGGCCTCGGAGCCGTCCCGCATCCCCTGGGTCCGCCTGCTCGCGTCCTGACTTCTACTCTCATTGTCTCGTTCTTCTCTCTCCTCCCCCCGTCCCTCACACTCCTTCTGCGTTACTCCTAAATGCTCCCTTCTCCCAATTCGCCCCACCCTCCACAATCACTTTGTATGAGCACGACGCTCCTCTCACAGGAATCTGTGCAATCAGGGCCCCTTCCCCCCTTCACACTGACCTTGTACGCAGCGGATGTCAATCATCGCATTGTAAGACGCATGTCTCGGTAATGTGGAAGCTTTCAGGTGATTCCCAAAAGCTTGTTCTCGCTGAATCGTTGGCCTCATTTCAGGATCGGGGGGCTGCTCCCGTCGTTCAGAATGGCGCTCTCGCTGTATCGCGGGCCACATTTCCGGATCCGAACGCGCCATCGTCGTTGTCTCCCCCCATATTTCCCCTCCCCCGCCCTCCCATGGTCATCCTGCTCCTCCTGCTCCTCCTCCTCCTCCTCCTCCTCATCCTCGTCGTCCTCCTCCTCCTCCTGCTTCTCCTCCTTCGCCTCATTCCTCCTCCTCTTCCTCTTCATCCTCTTCCTCTCGCCCATCATCCTGTCTATCTACCTCTTCCTCCTCCTCCTCCTCCTCATCATCATCATCCTCAAGCGTACACATCATACGCTGAGGACACTTTGACAGTACCAGTTCCACTATGAGACCCGACGGCGGATAGAGATGAATCAGGGGGAAGGGATGGGTGGGAGGGATAGGCTCGCAAACCTAGCTTGTCCTCCCCCATGCTCCCTAACCCCCCCTCGTCTTACCTACCATCTCCCACTCCTCCTTCTCCTCAGGCCTAGGAGGGCCCAACATCGAACCCGCATGCCGGATCGGCGATCGACATGAATCGGATCGGGGGGACTCCGTAACCAAATCGGGAGCAATCGAATCGGCGGAGATTGGCAACATAGTAAGGCCTCCGTTCAGAATCCGGACTCCAAATCGGAAT